ATATTAAAAACACGATGTATCTCGCTGCATTGCGCGAGTACTCTTCTAGTATATATATATACATATATATATATATACATATATATATATATATATATATATATATATACTTGTAGCTACTGTAATCCTCATGTATAAGGATATGGTTAAAATGTACGTCTGACTAGCTAGTATCCAATATCTAGTTTTTGTCAATATAGTAAAATGTGATGAGAAAATTATATGTTTTATTAATGAATAGAATAAATATATGATTAAATAAAAGTATATATTTAATTATTTAATAAAAAATACATATATCCTTCTTGACAACTAATATTTGCATTATCCGTACATACCTGAAGATTATTATATCTGGTGAAGTTCTTGGAGCAAATTGGACATGAAAACTGATTTGGACCAGTAAGAATCTGACTAGGGTTTGGAATCCAGTACTGCAGGCCGTTGGTTTTCTTTAATCTGTTTATAGGAAACCCTTGAAGCATTTCATCCCCATTCACATTCTTTTCTTCAAAACCATTAGGGCCCCAATGAAACCCTAGAAGCATTTCATCCCCATTGCCACCCTTCTTTTCAGGGCAGAAAGGAAACTCTAGAAGCATTTCATCACCATTACTGGTAACCTTCTCTTGAGGATAACTAGGGTAGATTGGACTAGTAGGGAGCCCTATGTTTAGGGTTACATTCACTGTAGTACTAGTAAGTAGTTTTGTGGTTGTACTTGTTGAAAACCTGCAGTTATTTTTATCTTCTTCCATGGCACTATTACTTGAAGGGTCATGGTGTTGCAGCTCTAGATCTTTTTTGAGGCTTAATTTGCTAAGAAGAGGAACGGCTTCTTTTAACGGAGGTGATGATGATGATGACAACGACGACTGCAGCGACATGTTATGATGAAGGTATGAGGGCGAAGGCTCATTATCAGAGGAATAGTGCCAGTAATTGTATGGGTGGTGAGAAATGAAAGGAACCCATCCTTTGAAGAAGATGGGATTTGTCATTGTGAATCTAAAGTGACGATACTAATTAACACATGTGTAATATATAGGTGGAGATTCAAATGAAAACATATTCATTTTACGAAAACACAAAAACACCTTTATTACATGTGAACGAATCTGATAGTATACGGGCAACTTGATCCAACGGTCTAAGTCGACATGCAAAAGGTTAATTATGTCTCTAATTTAGTATTACATATGATTGATTACACATACTCCGAGTGTTTGAATGCTGCAAAACTTAACAAGTTCAATAAATGTGATTTATCGAATAATTAATGTTTAGAAATTGGTCATTCTTTTGACCAAATAGTTGAGCTTTTCCCAAAACAGAAACAGTTCCAAGAATGCACGAGGGATGGGAGGGGTTCGAGATTCATATTTATGTCTCCAAGTATCCACGTTCAAAATAATTTATTTCCACTAGTTTTCTTGAAATGTTCATACACTTATAGGAATCCCCAAACCCATGTTCAAATTAATCAGAAATTTGATAGTCTTTAGGTTTTTTTGTAAGATTATATTATTAGAGTTTAAGATGTTTTTGGTAATTTATTTAGTTTTTGGAAAAATAAAATAAATTATTATTATTGTGATTAAGTTAAAGTTAAAACTTTGACCAAATTAAAATCGAGTGCTTGTTATCACCAATTTTGTAATCGTGAAAACCATTATATGATATTTCTAACCGTAGCTATTGGGGTTATGGTCAATGCTCCACAACGCTATTATTGTCAACCATGAATTAAGGGTTGTTCAATAATAACTTAATGAGTTGTATGACATGAGTAGCTTATTTGGTAAGTCGTACATGATTGTTCGTTTGTGGCTTATTTGGTCAGTCCATAGCTTATTTGCTCCACCTGTAAGGGAGAGTTTTATTCATTAAACCAACACTTTTTCCTCAATACCCTTGGAAGAGGAAACACGCTCTACTCAATCTTTTTCATTTCACCACACTCTCACTTCTCGTCTTGAATCGATTTGCTCCCTCCCCCATGAAATAGATATGTTTGGGGAATGAACTCATCGATCTTCCCCTCCCTCCTCTTCCGTGAAGCTCGAAAACTGCTTAGGGAATGGAGTCATCAATATGCATTTTCCATCCTCTCATTCTCCCTGGTCTGTTTCCTCGAGCTTCGTGGTTTCTTTCCTTCTTCTATCTCATTGGTTCCAATTTTGAAGTTTACATATACCAATCGAGGTTATGGTTAGGGTTTCATTTTCTCCAAGTTTGAAGTTTGCAAGCACCATTTCTCTCTCTCTCTCTCTCTTTTTTTTTTTTTTATAAAAACCGACTTTGTTGCATAATGAATTTTTGGTTTCATTTGCAGATTTAAGTATGCTAACCATGAATTGAAAAAATTATTCATTGACTATCAACGGGCCTCTTTAATTACATGTGTTTGTGCATAAAAGGGAGTCAAGGATTATTCTTTTTGCTAAAACCAAAAGCAAAATTTTTGGTAATGGATCACGTGAAGACGCCACTTCGGCTAGACCATGGTCATTTCTCAAGAACAATAGCTAAATGCTCTGAAACTACCACTTGCATCTGGAACCTACATGTTGATGCTCACGATTTCGTAAGTATATCTAAAATTTGACGATCAAGTCGATTATATGATTATAACTTCATTTCATAATCGGACCTGCTTTTTACATATATCTCATTATTTTGGACCATGAAGATGATCCTTTTGTGAAGATGAACCGTATGTGAAATTTCAATGAACTACCACTAATTTGTTGAGGAAGAAGTTGCAAAATTTTCTACAGACCAAAATATTTATTGATGTTGTTTGTGGGTTGGGTTCTAGGAGAATGAAAGTTATGATGAGAATGGCAAGAAGAGATCTTCACTCTTTGATCAATTCTAATTGAAGATCAACATTAATACGGTGCACCAAGATGGACCGGATCAATTCCCGTGATAAGCGTACTTCAAGGGAGTGACATTAAAAGTGATCAAGAGTCCAGATCTCTTTTTACGCTTCTTACTTTAACTCCTATTTTTACATGATCTTTTGTTTGTCGGTTGTTGGGGTACACACTAGGTGTAATAGTTGTAGATCTTTGATATAAAAATTGTACTTTCATCGGTGATTAAGTTAGGCTCATAGGAAAAAAAAAATAGTTATTTATGTCATTCAAACTTATATTCAACAAATCAATTATTGAACAACAATTTAGTTTAATCCATATACACAACTAAATCTCTATATATAATCAGCTCAATATCTATACAAGGTTTAATGAAAAAACAACCGAACAAATCTTTAGCTTATCTTTAAGCTTATTGAAAACGTTTCGTTTGGTTAGTCATTATATAATTTATAATCTAAACTTTGAAAAGATAATTCAAGAACGTTTCAACAAGCTTTAAGAGTATTTTTCAATCATACTCCTTATATTTTTTTAAATTATTTTTTATTCTTTATATCATTTCATATTGTTGTCTAATTTGATTAATTATCAGTTAGTTTTTTTTCCTAATCATGACTAATTTATCATGAATAATTAGTTAATTTAACCAATAGCTAACTTATCTGTTAGTGGTACCACAGTAGAGGTCAAGTCTCTGATGAGGATGGATCAAGAAGGGTTGCTACGTCTAATTGTTGCTTTTATGTTTATTTTTCAGTATTCTCTTTTAAATCTCTTTTCGTATATTGTCTGTCATCATCACTGAAATGTGGATACCGAGCTCCAACGTGTGTTTGTCACCAAGGATGTCGCTCTGATAGCTACCATTTATGGATGTCGAGCACCGGCGAGATGATATTGCCGTCGTTTCTTCTCAAATATGGTCCATAATGGATGCCAAGCCTCAATGGATCCATTGGTATCCCTCATTCGATCATGTCCCATATATATTTGATGATTTATGTTCGGTTCAAGATGGCATTGGAAAGTTTGCCATGCTCATCTTGTCGGGGCTATTAAAGTTTAAGGGCATTCTGGCATGTTCTAGTCTAATATAAATAGGTGTACGGTTTAATCATTTCATTCAATCAGTACAATTTAGTTTCTCATTTCCCTTATATCTATTATTTGGTTTTAAATGTATGAAACAACAATAATATAGTCTTTAAGAAAATCTTTTAAATAAATTGAATAACATATATTAATTATGCGTATAGGAGGTTTTAAATACAAACCATATTATTATTACAAACCTTATAAACCAAATCTTGGTCCTTGATTCAAATTTATTAAAAATGTGATTAGAGTAAATTTAGAATTTAATTTAAACTACACTATTAATTATACACATTGATGGATGAGATTCGTTTATAACAATAAAATCGTTTTTATTTTAAACTCTCTCCCGGTTATGTAATTTTTTAAATTTTATAGATGAAACATATGATTGCCTAATTTCGATCAAATGTTTACTCTTTATAAGAAAAGTGATAAATTTGGTTTGAGCTGATTCAGTTAGATATTATATATATATATATATAGAGAGAGAGAGAGAGAGAGAGGAGAGCGATCAAATGAAAACTACTTCAATTTGTAAAAACCGTAAAAACTACTCTCATCCGTCGATTTCATTGTTTAATCTTATGAAATTTTTTCATGAAATTGTTTAATCTTGTGAAATTGTTTCATATAATACTTTTTTTAATGAAGTTGTTTCATATATGGTTATGAAATTGTTTCATGTATTTCTTTAAAATTAAAATAATGAAGATGATAATATGAATGATTAACATCCTTCACAATAAAAATGATTAATCAACCTCTCATAATTACAAAAAAAATGAACAAAATGAAAAATTATGATTGGTGTAATGAGGTTTTTACGGTTTTTACAAATTGAGTGTTTTCATTTGATCGCTCCTATATATATATATATATATATAGAGAGAGAGAGAGAGAGAGAGAGAGAGAGCACGTTCAAATGAAAACCGTGCAATTCTTAGAAACCGTGTAAACTAATTTTGACTAATAGGAAAATTAAATTTTTTTCTAATTAAATTTAATCATTAAGGGTATATTGGTCATTTGC